AGTTTAGAAGTATTAATTAAAGGGCGGCAGTCGTCGTGCCGCGTCCTGTTCGATATGGGACTCATAGCGACGTTATACAACGCGTGTAAAATACATTGTTTATTTACATGGAATTCGAACACGCGCTGCGTGACGACTACCGCGCTTTAAGGTTCACATTTATTGCATGTGTCGCACAGCAATCAGAGCACACTTGGATTTGGCGACAGGTGTGTTCCGTGCTGAGGGTTATACGATAACAATATGGTACCTCCCTCCCAAGTTGTGAAAGCGTCCTTGAGGCGCATCTGTGGCTGGTTCACCTTTGCGAGCTACGTGCATATGCCTGTCATAAATCGCTTTCTCGACAACCCAATTTATCGGACGTTTCTAGCCGGAGCATGGTCATTTTAGTTCTGAACATTTTAACTTAAGGTACAAGTAAGTCCGCAGGGTTGCGACGTCTCTTCTTTGATATCAATGCTTTACATTTCAATAGTTACTCTCTTTACTGTTTGAACTCCTCGGTCTTCGTGTCCGTTCGCGCAGTTTATTAATATCCCAAAGAGATATCGGATTCACCCTTCTAAGTTGCATTCAGTTCCGGTGTATATTTCATTTCGTTTGCCATATGTCTAATTAAAATATGCAACTCTTGTGTGCGCTCGTTATGTGAATAACTCAATACACATGTGAGGGTATGGGGGTAGCATCATGTGTATTTCATTTATCGACGATGGTAACAAAATCGTTGTGGTTTAATAACAAGTTTAGATTCTGAAATAGACAAGCTGACAGGTGCTCAGTAAGCTACATATACCGTAGAAATGAGGGGGGGGGCAGAGACAGCAATAATACTATACAGACCTTTACGTTAACACTTATTCCCCCTAGTAGTTATTATTTAAGCATTTTTATTGAGGCTTACATTGCATACATAGCTTCCGTCAGTTTATATGATTTTGACCAATCCTATACATTGCCACAACGTGAAATTGTTATTCGCATGGCGATTTGCGGAAAGCGTGTCACAGAAAGCATGCCACCTGAAATGAAATGATGAAAGGGGTCCTTCTAAAGGAAGACACGGCGGGACGCAGTGGCGTGACTACATGGGACATCCTGTTCCTCCATTGAAGCCTGACTTCAGCCTTACGGGCAGTCGTGTCCCTGTCGCGTTCCACGCTTGTACGTGTCACCGGCTACGCAATTGGGTCATTAAATGTCGTACGTCTGTACCCTCTACTAACCATGCTCTGTCAGTTCGTGAATTATATTACTAACCACGATCTTTCAGTTGCAAACGTCCTTTCGTCACGGTGATTGTCAGTTCTGAATATCGGGTTGATGATATGACTGACGCCAAAAAGGAAGACAGGCGGTGGAGAATTATTCATTTTAGTTGGGCTTAAATTGGATGTTCCAAAATTGATCTGACGACGGTGGTTGGGTGAAATGGACACGGAGATGAGGTATGCACCACGTGCGCACAGTTTTATAGTGTGTATTTATGTTTCGTTATAGAGATTGGCCATTAGAACACTTGCATGTGAAGACCAATGGTGGAAAAACTGTGTAAATTATGTCTTATTCTTCGTTTCAGCTAGGTTTATTCGCGATGATGTTGCAGTGCAATTTTTGTTTTCATTTCCTCTATCAAATACCAGGTGGTTTTCTTCAGTGCAGATTTTGTTTTCGTTCAACCTAACACTCCAAATTTCTTGATGGTCAACACCTTAAATGCGAGTCAATGTATGAGAAGCGTGTGTCCGTACACGGTTTCAGTAACCGTGGCCCGTACGACGAATACAAATGCGAATTTGGTCGCTGCATGAATCTAGTAAGCCCCTTGATGACTGTCATATGATGCCATATTGTATCCCGAACTCGATGGAGATATTTGCGAGTTTTTGTTTCTGTGTAATGTTTTACCCCCCTAAACTGTCTTCATTTCGCAGCTGTGTGTCGCAGTGTTGGAGGGGTGCTCGCTATTCACAACCAACCATCGCACGTAGTTTCCGGCTACCCACCATGTACTATAATTAAACGGCCGTGGAATAACTGAACCTTTAAAATTAAGTTCTGTGCGGTATGTTTCACACTTGCGTACGACGTGTGACAAACGTCAACATTTCCGCGTTCTATCGCCAACGTAGTGTGATCATTCATGTAAACGTCGTGTTTACAGTTTAGGTTGACATTTATCGATCGTTTGTAGACTTTCAATTCTGTACAATGGTCACAAGTTCAAATTGTCCCATCGCCATTGCAAACCTTCAGCCACGGACCCTCCCTCTATGATAGAGGGACTGTACTTCATCGGAATCTCGGGGACGCTGTTTGTTTTGACACAAACTCATTGGTTTTTCGGGAGAAAAATGCATTCATGTGTGCATTGACACCTCGTTGTTAATTTAAAATAAGCGTTGGCTTGTTAGCTAGTTTATCTATTCATTATGTAGTATATTGTTTCCGGTGTGCATTCTTATCGCTTTCAGCAGAGCTTACGTTACGCAACAGGCGATAAGCCGTTAGCCACTCGAGCACGACCGTGCTCGGAGAATTTACTGATCATCCCCTCGACGACGATGCTATCTGCCTTCGTGCCCTTTGAAGGCGCTTGCCATCAGCGCATAATTTCACGACACATGCACATAACATAGCTTAACCGTATGAAAACGTTTCACAATAAGTTGCCATATGTTAGTTAGGTCCCGTATTATAAAGTGCAGTGACCTCATTACCTTTAGTATACATACCGATACAATCTTTTCGCATTATTGATAAAAATAAAAATTAAAAATATGTCACGCGAGCGCATTCTCGTGAGAGCAGAAAATATAAGAATCAAGAAACGATTTTCTCACGGTAAAATTGGTTTTGATGCGTGCGGTTACTTGACCTTCAAGGCATCCTTTGAATACTATCTTCCGGCGTTGTTGGCTGCGAAGTTATTATAAAAAATAGAATATTGATGTTTTACTACCTCAGTGTAGGGTGTGTGTCCGACAAGTTTTTGTTTTCAATATCGACATTAATGAGCTTAGTGCTGTGTAATGCCATTAAGCCTGAAAGTGGCCATGTGTTGCAATCACTGGAGAAAATGTATTAATGAATTTAAAGTGGCTTGATCAATGGGTGAATGCGTCTCTCAATCTTTTCAGTTGCGGCCAGCTTTGACTGATTTTTCTTGCATCACCCATGCCCCAAGCACAGAAACGTAAAGCGATTTCGAGTTGAAATTAATTTAGCGAAACAGTTCTTTAGTTTATATAGTGTATGAATGGTAACGAGTCTTGTTTTGTGGTAGACCTCGATCAAACGCTCTCCCGCGGTAGTGTCATTAAAAAGTACAGGAAAGTTCCTTTTCGGCAAAAGACGCGTATTTTCTGGAAAGTGCTTGTGCCGCGGCAGATGAAACGTAGTCCCTCTTTGAAAAAAAGCCTTCAGCATTTCCTTTCCTTGGTTTAGCTTACAGATTGTAACCTCTTCGCACCCAGAGTTGACTCGCGTAAACCTTTGACGTGTCGATTTCTTTCTGTCGCCACCTTTTGAGATGTCAGTGCGCCGAGAAGCCATCGGAATCCAAACAAACCCTGTTCGCCGTCAAATAAAACCAGAACCAGCCCTCAACCCACCGGGTTCGGACCGACCATTGTCTTAACACGAACGATTGCACGCCCGATAACTTCGATTACAAAACCTGTAAGCAACTAAACATATCGCCTTGCCATTCGCAAAGGTGACCTTTTTTAATTAGTTGGTGCACACATTGAAATATTCAATGTCTCGGTAAAGTTTAGCTCGATTATACTTCACGTATTTCGCTGCGAACTTGTTTTTCTTCGCCTACAAGGGAAACTAATGTATCACATTCCATCGTGCTTCCCTAATACCGTCCATGTGGTGTTAGCGCGGGAAACTGGGACGGCAGTTCACATGCCTCTTTGCTCGGTACAGCGTGAAGAGTAAACATTGTCCCATTCACTAGCTGGCCAATCATGTCAAAGTGATAAGAAAACGGAACAAAGCGAGACCGGAAACAGGTTTGATATGACCGGATTGTGTTTACAAGGGACATTTCTAAAGTAACTGCCAAGCAGCGCCATATATGGCGATAGCCACGCCTACATTTGCAATTAAGTATTCACAGTAAATATACGCGTCATCACAGAGTCGGAATGACTTGGGTGAACCGATGCTGAATTTCAAAGCGCCCAGAACTGCTGTCTAAATTCAAGGTATTTCGAGTGGATTTCACCGCTGATTTCTCGTCGATTGTTTTCAAGAACAACTGGCGTCCCGCTAAACGCGGTGGAAGCTTTGGAATGTGAAGTAAGTTGGATATTTCTCGTGGTTTACAACGCGCACGTCGACTTTTTACTTGCAGTGTATTTTCCATTCATAAAATCCCTGTGTCATTATCCCCTATAGCGCCCTGTCTATGACGATTCCCGATTTCATCGCGATCATGTTTTTTTCTAGCCGGTTTTAGTCGCCGATATCGGAAACAAATTGACATGTCAGTCGATGAGAGAGTACCGGCAATGTTTAACGCTGTTAGACCGCTGTAGATTCGTAACCTTGTTATCGTGATTGTAGGTGCGCGATTCCTGTGCACTTCGATGAGTGTCAACGAGACTCGTAACCGCCCACGCCCTCACTTCTCGTGAATATATGCAAGAAATCGCGATCCATGTTTGTGCGACATACATACTGACTGCGTTCGACCTCTGAATGTTGGTGTTAAAAACACTCAAATTCGACGTTCACATGGCTTAATAAACGCCAGTCTCTCTTGACCCCAATCACCCATGGTAAATTTCGAGTGTACCGGATTTTTAGAGTAGCTAACATATTGTGCGCGTGAATTACAACACTTCCGATTATATACACTCACACGTGAATTGATTCATTTATTAATGCATGTGTCCTTTATTGTTTTGCAGTCTCACTACAATAATGGCTCGTCGACAGAATGACGGTCTCCGCGTTGTTGAATCTCAGCCACGATCAATCATCGCGTATAACAACAGCATCTACAATCCGTTGAACTGTACCCAGTTGAAATTGAATCAAGTTCGGGCAATAGAAAACGACTACACAGATCATCTGGTTTGGGAGCCAAACGTCAATAATAGGTCGTCTTCACGCCCTTCCTCCTCGCCGACCCGAAAGGCACATGTTTACTCGCACTTGATGTTTGATGAATATTACCAGTCTGCCAAAATTCCAACTGGACAGTTGAAATCATCGACACTGGTCACGACAAATGGATACAATTCCACGAACGGAACAGTTATCCAGGTGGTGCGGTCGCCGCCGAGCTTCAACAAACCAGTACGGCCGCCACCACCAAAGATACCCACTAGCAACTGGAAATCCCACGACACCGAGAAAACACCGCCGGAACTTTCTCCGCGACCAGATTTGGTGAAAGAACGACCGACAGCAAGCCACGGACACGATCAAAAGTCGATTTTAATTTGCCCTTTTTGTGGACTTTGTAAATGTGCTGGATGTAAAAGCAGTAAGGAGTTACCGGAAAAGTGGCTATGTGATGGACGGTGTTTGCTCTCCGCCGAAAGTGCCGTGGATTATGGCTCGTGTCTCTGCGCCGTCAAGGGGACATTTTACCATTGTTCATCGTGTGTTGCCAACGAGGACGAGGACTATGGATGTTCAGACAACCCATGTCTTTGCTCAAAGCCAGGGGAAAATCATTGCTGTACCCGGTGGATTACGATGGGGCTTATGTCGATGTGTTTTCCATGTCTCGTGTGTTACCTGCCCGGGAAACTCTGTGTGCGTATGTGCCGCGCGTGCTATGGTGGCACGCATCATAGGGGCTGCAGGTGCCCTCCGAGAGTCCAAGAACAACTAAACCATTTACTCTAGTCATTTAACACTGCCTAAATAAGAAGCTATGTCACTCTGACCACACATGACTCAAGTCCGACCTGGTTGACATTTTGTGGAAGTGCGGACACTCCCCCACACGCAACCGTGAGTGACACGAGCTCTTTAATAACTCTCTCCTTTTAAGTTTTGTATATAATGAATGTTTATAGTTATTTGCTTAAAAACTAGCTTCTTTGTATAAAAGGTATTTTGTGTTGTGCTTTTTTTTTCGAACCATGTTGTGTAAATTTTAGACTTTAACGAGGCGTACCCAGCGAAATATTGGGTATGTTTTCATGGTTCGGAAAGTCCTTTAAAATCCTAGATTTATAACAATATGCGGACCGTTTTCGAACAACAGTCGACAACTTCTCTGTTGATTCGTCTTAACTTATTTACAGTGTTTGTTTTGTGAAACAAGTTATTTAGTATCCTACCCCCAATTTCCCCTTTTCGACTACTGGGAACAACTGTCACTGGCATTTTACCTTGACAAAAACAGAAACATTGTTGCATTTTCACTGTGCCATTTCCCCCCAGCTGGCGCGGTCTTGCGGTTTAATATATTGTGAAAAGGCACTTATTCCTCACTCATTCTTTATCGACTGGAGACAAATTGTCTAAACTTCGTCACACAAGCTCACTCTTGGCAAATCTCTCACTCCAAATTACTGTTACTGTTGTTTTTGGGCAGTTCCGTTCCCGCATTGAAATGCGTTGTACATGCATGCCGTATTAGAACGCTCTGTTCATGTTTCAATGCTACAATAATGCGTGGATACAATGTCGAGAAAACCACGGAATAAAAGCGCGTCTATGGAGGCCATGCCTTTGTAAAGGGCATCGTTTGTAGACACACTTTAATAATGCGGTTTTAATGGGATTGAAAAAAAAGACACTTTGCCGGTTCAACTGTGTTGCTGTTTGTTCAATATATTGATAAATCTGCATATGTAATTTTGAGAACAGGAATTGCAACAAATCACTGCCAATTGTTATTACCCTATTAAATGGCAAGTGTTATTTTGCAAAATATAGTATTTAAGAAAAAAAGACAATTTCAGCAGTCTTGTTATAATATATGTATTAAACTTTAGAAAACAGCAACAGGCAAATTTAGCAAATGCTGATGACAGCTCTTATTTTCTGATGTTGAAAAAAAAAACAAAAAAAAAACATGTCACCATATTCATTGCCAGATGATTTGATGTGTGCAAGTATAAAGTCACAGATTGTATACAATTTCGATTTCTGTACATTAGAATGTTTGTTTGTTCTTTTTCTTTCTTTTTTTTTTGTGAAAAAAAAAAAAGGAGGAAAAATAAACTGTGTATGCTTTGTATTTTAAAAGACAAACTGGGTTCTGGAAAAGCTGTAAGCCCATTAGTTTAAATGCAGTTGTTGATTTAAAGCAGCTTTCTGATGGAGAGTATATTGACATTTTTTTTGGAGTTATATTTTAATATTATCTATTTATTTTATTCTGACAGTCAGATATGGAGCAATAAAAGTTCTGAAATGTAATATGTAAATGTTTGTTGTTTTGTTTTTTTAAAATTATACTTGTTATCGGGTATGTTTTTTTGTTTGTAGTATTTGACGTAAGAAGTCGTATATGTCGTATACCAAATGTAACTTATAAGTATTAGCAAAATATCTTATTCAAAACTTGTTTATGGATTCGAGGCTGTCTAAACTGATGTCTCTAATACAGCCTACTTTCTTTCTTCTATTAATTCGTACATGTTACGTACTACATTTCATACTCCCTAGGCTAGTTGTTTTGAGCATGTTCCGGAACAGGATTCAAAACCATGTTGGGATTTCAGGTATTCTAAATAAAAAAATAAATCAAGTCAGTTTCAATTACATCGAATCTCATTCCTCGTTTTACTACATATATCAAGGACTTCAATTTAGTTTAACAGATATTACATTTTTAATTGGTTGAATCAGCTCTGTTTCACCTTTCCTGATTGCAAGTTAACAAAATACACTACCAGATTTGATAAAATTAACTCGGGAATTGGCTTGAGGTATTTAAAAAACACTATTGCGCTCTGGACTTTCCATGTGGCATGAGGAAATGTATGCCTGGGTAGGTTAATTTGCGTAAGGAATTGTTAATTTCCATTTGCCTCTGTATAGTCACATGCCATCACCCCCCTGCCTCTATTGTCTTTAAAGCTCACTTGTCACCACACTGTGAATAGCCCAGAAGGAATTGATGGTCTTGAAATTAATTAATTAAGCAAACATATGTTAATTTGGCTATTTTATTTGAAGAGTTGTGAAGATTTATGTTTTGCCCGTTTATTTAAACGTTTCATTTTCATAGGATATCGCTTTAAAAAAAAAAAAATTGTTTAATTCTGTGCAAGTTAAAAGCCCTGGATAATTGTTTCTGCATGGTTTGAGTTGTGCGTGCATGTGTTTCTATTCCATCTGCTGTCTTTCCAACTCCAGTCCTCTATGAAGTAGTTGCCAGAAAGGAGGTCGAGGGATCCGTCAAACAGCAGATGTTAACATTCTATCCCTGCATAGGTCAAAATGTGGAATCCTATGAACTTTAAGGTTTCATAAATATTTCCGGTGGGTGGTGTTGAAGCAACCAGTATAACATCACTTGATTGCTCAAATACCAGTCTGTATGTACTCCATAGTTGTCCCACAATATTTAGAGAGATTTCTCTCTTTCCCCAAGCAAAATAACAATATAATGTTCCTGTATTGCAATGGTGTATTTATTTACTGTTAGTTATTTAAATCAGACTGTCAAGCAAGACTAGTAAAACATCTACTGAAATTCCCTTGCAGATTTTCCCAGCTGTGACAAACTTTAAGGGACAAACCAAACAAATTTTAAAAGGGGAGGCTAAGACATTATTTTCAGTCCGGAGCCATAAGAATGTCTGGTTGTAAATTATTATAATTGTTCCTATGGTTACTTTAAACTTAAACTGGCCTTTAATTTAAAATATTATCAGTAAAGTTTGCTTTGCAACCCCCCTCCTCACATAATTGATGACTTTCATGCTGTACTGAGAGGGGTGAGTGATGAGGAGGGGATCATATATTGATTCAGTCAAACTGCACGACTATTGGTAAAATCAGAAATGGATGAAAATGCTGTACTAAGTATAACCTGTTGAAGGAAAGACAGAAAGATGAAGGAGACAAGAAAACTGCCTCAGACATGGTAAGAATGATTTTTTTTATATAACGACCAAATATGTATTTTCCACTGCAAGCATTGTGACAGCTGACGAGCACACGCCCCCCTGGTGTAATGATATATAAATAATATGACCCCAAGAACCTAAAACTATTTTAAGATTTTAATCTTACCAGGGGCTGAGTAATTGACAGCCATGTTTTTTTCTTCTTTTTTTGCCTTCATTTTATTTTTATTTGCCTGCTGGAGTTTTTTTACAGGATATAGATACATGTAATCTGAAAAATGTCAACAGTCAATGTTTTAATTACTGTAAAACATGTCCTTTTTTTAGCATGCATGATATTTTAGCTAATTTAGCAAATCTGTAATTTCGCTAACTTAAAAGTATGTTCTCACAATGAGATACTGTAAAAGGGTTAATTATTCACTGGATTTTAATTTTTCCTATTTTCGCAGACTGGAAAATGTGCTTAATTAAAACCCAGTGAATATGTAAAATTTAGCATAGAACCCATTATCTAAATAATATAAACATGAATTTAAAACCCACTGAATATGCTTGAAATGGTAAATCAGCGAAATTCAAACCCAGTGAAAATTAGTCATTTTAGAGTTGTTTACACTTCAGCTAAATTAAGATTCTGTTAATTCATGCATTGAGTCAATTTGATTAAATTGCATGTAGTTATTTCAACCTGTTTTGCAGTAAATTTTGCCTGTTATTTTTTTAATAACATAGTATTTCTTGGTGAATTTATATGTATAAAAAAAAGAAAAATTGACCAAATAAAAGGTTTCACCATACCATTTTTGTTTTAACATAACAGAACCAGAAGTCTCAGTAAAAGGGAATCTTTCTAGTGTAATTAATAATGCTTTTTTAACCTTGTCTGGTTGCTGTGCATTGAATACAAACACATAGGGCCTGCATTTATTTACAGGATATGCTAATTTTCCACTTGGTGCTATATCTGGATGTTTTGGTAGAGCTAAGCTAACATCCTGTATGTATCTGTTACAATACAAACAAACTTAAACCACAAAAATCTCAAAGCAGTAACAACAGTGTTCAAACATCTGAGGGTTTTGCTATTCTCTGGAATGCTTGCCAACAAGGTTATTTTTTATCAAGGCGAAGGTTTCATATTATGGAACCACATGTGTTGAATGAGGGAGGGGGGTGTCATGCTAGTGTGGATGAAAACTGGGGTTGGTTAGTTGTTGTTGTTGTTTTTTTTTTGGGGGGGGGGGGGGTAAATACTGACAGTTTACCAGCACATCATATACTGTAAATGTATTAATTTTTGCACAAGTTTTAATTTCGCCAATTCCACTAAGTTAAATCCAGCTGAACACATACAAATTAGATAGAACAAAAGAAATTTGATGTTTTACTGGAAAGTCTGTGAATTTAAAACTCAGTGAATATGGTCAAAATGGTGAAAATTGGGACTTTTCTTTAAAAAAGACTTGATTTTGTTATATTTTTTTTAATCAGAGGAAGCCCACCCCGGTTGCTCCCAGTGCTGCAATGGATAAAGCCACTTTAGTATGATTGTTAAATGGTGAGTTCTGATTCACTTGTATTAAATGTTTTTTGTGTTCTTTCACGATTCTTACACAATGATTGATTGCTTTATTCGGCTGTGTATATTCATCAAATAAAATAAACTATAGAAGAAAATAAAAAGAAAATAGTAGGGGAGAATCCCCTTATTTATTCTTCTTGAGAGTAACATGTGTAATTGATTTCTTAATTTACTTCAGCTGGTTTTCATTTCTACAGAGGAAGTTGATTTATTCCAGGACATGGCACTATATAAAAAAGAAAGTATCTATCACTATCTTGTAACAAGATGGCTGCCACCTTGTTACCAAGATGTAAATGCTGAGGTTAGTTCACTTAGGGTTGATTATTATTTTGATGTGGTGATCACGCGAAGTTACAAGAAAAGACAAATTTATAGTTATATTGATTTCATATCTGCAATAACAAAATATGAATTGATAATAATGTGAAGATATATTCTAATTTAGGTTTTGGATACAAGTGAAAGAATTTGGATGTGGTTTTAAAATAAGCCACAAAAATGTCATTGGTATTTCAATGTGATAAAAAAATATTTCAAAAAGCATGCATCGGTTTTAACAGTTTTAGAAAAAAATCAGGCACATTGCTGATAGTAGCAAATGATATCGTCAGTCTGGTCATGCTGTTTCGTATGCAAATAACAAACTTATTTGTGAGGGGATGCTCAGTTACGATTATGTTAACTTGCAAAATATTTGTTAGTTTGATGCGAAGCGATGTCCATGCAGTATTTGACCAGAAACTGTCTCTTCTCCCTGATAAATTAGTCAAACCACCAACCAAAAACTCTATCGGACTTACCATTCATGAAATTGTTTTATTTGATGTTCATGTGTGGTATTTTGGCATTGATTTGGGTTGACAAACGTGATGCTATTAAAAAGGAAATTGGTCATTTTTTAAAGATAAACAGAATAGAACGTTGATAAAATGATACAAGTTTACCCTCACATACGCTCCTCACATTTATCACTGTTTTCTTGAATTCGCTACGAAAAATGTCAAAAAAATTATAAATGATTCCTAAATTAGAATTTTTATGGTAAGTAATTTATTTTTTCAATTGTGAAAATACTGAATTAAAGTATTTTATATTACATTATAAACCCACAGATGTGTAGTCTTGTATGGGGAGAGGCGATCCCATAGAAAATAGAATACAGGAACACATTTACTAGCTTGTTTTACTGTGAAATACTTTATTTTCGCTTGGAATTAATTTTCACTGAAGGAATGATTCAGTGAAAATAAAATCCAGTGAATATACCTTTTTTCCTATATTTTACATTCAACTCGTCAGAAATCAGTGAAAATAAATTCCATACAAAACGCC